AAAATCGCTGATTGTGACTCTCATGAAGTGAAATAAACAGGTTTAATATGTCAAACACATTCTTTGCAACCTCTTCTTGTATCCTACCAATTCAAAATTTGATCATGGCATCTAATTATTTCATAATTTAGAAAAACATTGTTTTAGCTGAAATGAGTCTTTGCAACCTTGGTTGTGTGTGAACTTGAAATGCGCTTATTCAACCCTTTCCCGGTTATCTAATAATCACTACACAGCTTTCTCTTGAAGCCGGGTTAAATACTGTTTACGCTTTTTATGAAGGAATTTATTGAATTTATTTTGCTGTGAATCAAATTAATCGAAATTAGATACAAATCATCACCAAATTATTTACCCTGCACCGGAACCTGGAATCGAACTCGAGATGACCTCATTGGCACACCTTGACACTACCAACTGTGCTACGCCAACACTTTGAATGTAAACAAATCAACATTCCCTTCTACAACAAAATCGCTGAGTAGAGGCTTTATAATAGTGCACATGAATCACTTTTCTCGACTAGTTATAAAAGAGCACAGTAAAAGCTGTAAAACTGCACACGTCTAAAAATAAACCTTGTTGACTGTGAAAATGCTTCCGAAGTTGCTCTAACACAGTTTATAAGCTGAGTACAGGTTGTTTAGTTGTTGATTAAGCACTTTTGATGTTTATGTTATTCAGCAAGAGTGGTTGGTTGCTTAGAAGCCATCAAATGAGTAATATACACAGCAAAAAAATAATTTTGATATCACATCAAAGTGGATGCACTACAATCATGTCGAAAATTTCATATAATTTTTATGACCACATAAATAAACAAATGCAGTAAAAGCAGCGTAATGTCAGTTCATGCATTGTATTAATGATAATTTTGTCCTTTTTAGCAAGTAATATTACACCATATTTTCGACATGATTGTAGTGCATCCACTTTGACGTGATATCAAAATTATTTTTTTGCTGTGAATTCACTTTGTTAGCTTTGTTTTGCAGCTACAAGTTGAAAGTTGATTAGTGTGTGTATAGAAGTGACATTAACGTTTATTGGCTGATGTTATTCAGTGCGACTGACAAATTGAATAATGGTTGGGAGAAAGTTGAGTAAACGCTCTCCAAAACTATTTTGCTAGCTTTTGCTTGTAGCTGTATCTGCAGCTTTTTTTCAGCTACTTTACAGCACAACGCTGGAAAAGTAGGCTTACAAAGCTGAAAATGTTAGTTGGGTAATTCTTTTATCAGTCATTTGAGGTCCTGTAAAAGACCAATGGGTTGGAAGCTTGGAAGCTTGTTTACAACAATGCTATGGATTTTTTTTTTTAATTGTTCTTGGAGATGATAGCGGTGCGGAAATGAAATATGTATTAGGGAAAACACGTCAATCACAGAATCTGAGCCTACCAGACGTTTGTGCTTTTTGATGCAAATTTTAAGCCCCTTCTATTAAGAGAATTCGGCAAACAAAATTTTGGCATAATTCTCTTAATAGGAGAGGCTTAAAATTGCACCAAAAGGCATAAAGATAGGTACCTTCTGGCATGTTTAGTGCTTGGTATCAATATTCAGCAACTGTGTTAGGGAAACCACTCATCGCGGAAACGCCTCGTTTCCTGATGGAAAAATTATGCATTTTTGTGCATTAAACGCACGGCATTTTTGATTTATTCAATAGATCATAAAAAAGCGATTATTCGTTGGAGGAATTTCTTGCTAAAATGTTCCAATCGCGAGATATTCGCGATCAATCATATACATTCGACATTTTTTCGTTTTTTTCTAACGTCCTGGAGAAAACCTTACCTTAATTCAAAGCGTTTCTGGTTAATTGACAAGGTCATGTGGTATTCGGTCATTGCGAGAATTGTTATGAATCACTTGACGTATTTGACCACAAACGATTTGTTGCTGGGTACATTATCAACGAGCTTTGGGGGTGATGTGGCTGGCAGCAAGGCGAGCGAACGTTCAATGAAAATAAACTCTTAAACAACGATAATTTATATGGTGATCCTGAAAAGGACCGTTTTGTCGTAACTGTTGAGTAATGCTGAGCTATTAGGGTTTTGAACACGGATGCGGCTGGCGAGCTTTTTTTTTTTTTTAATTCTTTATTTAAGAGATTTTTAGCCTTAGGCTAGTTCATCTCTAAGGCTGGCGAGCTGAATGTTGTTTGGAACGAGGGTAATGCGCTTGCAATAGATGACCCAGCGACACACGAAGATGGATCCCGATCAGTAGCGGAGAGGCTTCTTCCTCTTTCTTCGGTGAATGGACGCTCATGTGGGCTGCAGCTCGCTGCTTGTGGGCAACTCGCTGCTTGTGGGCAGCCTTTTGTTGTGTACTATGTTCAACGCCACGCGCCGAAAGCACTGCTGCTACTGCTGCTGATGGTTATTTTTAAATTGCACCCCCAATATATTGCTGAAAGACGTAATCTTTCGTCAAAAAGAGTTGAATTTCCGATAGGCTATCCTCCAGTTCGATTCATAACACAAAAATATGAACTTGTGCAAAACTTGGTGTAGATGATGGTTTAGAGGTCGCGCCAATGATTTGAAATTCGTATGGGAATTGCTATGGAAGAATTTAAAAATTGACTTATATCGCTCTAACTTCGCTTCGACTTGTCAAAATGTTGAAAACATTCAATAAACTACAGGGTGCGTGACGAATTTTTGCAGTAAATTTCAAATAGTAATTTCTCATGCTTGTGCATCATGATTTAGATATATTTGGCAGCACTGGATAGCTTATACTGTTAGGTGTAAGATTTAAACAAACAATGTTGAGTAAACGTAAAGATGTCGAAACAAGAGAGCAATCTGTCAGCCGTTGTCGCTTTGTTGCGCGCCGGAGTATGCATGAAAGAAATAATTCGGTCGGTAAATGTGTCTGAAAGAACAGTGTATAATATTAAAAAAAGGCTTGGGAAAGTGATAAGACGGAGCACCTGCTCATACTGCTAATAAAGCACAGAAATGGCTTACGGAAAATATTTCGTAAATTTGGGAGGAAGAAATTTGGCCCCCAAGCAGTCCCGATATCAATCCGTTGGATCATTTTGTATAGGGCGTCGTCCAACGGGATACCAATAGAACCCCTCACACCACACTTAAGTCGCTAAAAGCTAAAATCAAGGCAGTGATGACATCTATGGATCGAAACATTTTAAAACGTGCATACTGCAGTTTCCGGAAGTGTCTAACTGCAGTCGTCGAAAGGGAAGGCATTTTTTTTTTGAATAAATTTACTTACAACTTCCATATGTTGCGAAAGAAAATAAATCGCACAAAATTCATTGCTAGAATAACTAACTGGTGTATTTTTTCTCAAATATGCCATTTACTGCAAAAATTCGTCACGCACCCTGTAATGGCAATGACCAAAAGATCTATTGTTGCTACAATCAGTTTTAAACACTTAAAAAAATATAAAAATTCAAAAAAATGGCAAAATAATTAAAATTTACAGATTTACATGTGCAAGACAACCACACCAATACAACAAGAACAAGTATGTTGACCATGACAACTACATTGTTTTCTTCAACATTTAAACCAGTACAACCAAAGTTCCCATACTATTTCACCTCAATATCCATACAAAATGCAAACCATTGGCGTAACCTTTAAACCACTGGCTCATATTTTGGGGTTTTGAATCGAACTGTGCCAATAAGAATTTCGTTGCTCGTCATATTTTATGACACATTTGCCGTCGTCGGGTTCCAATAGTTATACCTAGCATCAGATTAATCAGAAGTTGTGTGCTGTGATATTAGACACCCTTTTTGCTTACTGAGCAGGAAATTATGGGATCAAACCTAGGCCTCATAATATTAATGAGTTGTATTGTCATAGTGCTGGATCATCGCCTGTTTTGTGAAACTTGTTATCGTCGTCGTCTGTTCTGGCTTTGAATGGTTACATCAAAAACTCTATTGAGGTGCTCGGTGGCCTAAGATCGACCGTCTTTGCTTTCAATGTTCGTCGAGATTAAAATTAAAGTTACATTTTTAATCATGAAGCAACAGACAACATATTGTTACGCGTATAGTTGCTTTAGAATCTGAAGGCCAAAATGATATATAAATATTTTTCAATATTTTTAGAAATTTAATACACAATATTTTTTGACGGCCAAGTACACTTTTCGTTAGCAACGAATACCATATGGACCAATATCCTCAAAAAAATCTAAACACCCTTACGAACAATGAAAATACTAAAAACCAGCAATTTGGCAAATTGCTTTCAAACTCAAAATTAAGTAACACGCCATAACAACCAAAGAAAATCAAATTTAAAATTAGATAGAAGCGTTCACCTGGTCTTTGAAAAGCAATTAAATTGCGTTAAAGCGATCCAAAGTTTAGCCCTAATATTTTCCATAATTGCCTATAAACGCCAAAATGGCTATGAAAGGTATAAAATAACGTTAAACTTATCTTAAAAAATTATGGCTCGAAAAGCATTAAACATAATTCAATAATATAAAACAAAATCTATGTGCACTATTATCAACCCGTCTCAAGGTAAAAGGTGTTAAACATAGATGCTCGCCATTCAAGAATAAAAATCCTGAGCTCGGCCCTGGCAAAGGGTGTGCAGTCTATGAAACTCCATATAATAGCATCATATTTAACAAAAATTTACCTTATTTATTAGAAATGTTTGATCTTTAACCCTCGCGATGCAAAATTCTATTCCGTGTTGATCAAAGATATATTTTTTTAATATTTTAAATTAAGTATTGAATATTGAGCTACATACAACCAGCGCTAGCTATGTCCTTGTTATCGAGTTGTGAGATATGATTGTCAGCCTCATAATTATTTATTAACTAATTATCTTGACGTATGTTTGTGAAAGTTCAGCTAAAGTACCAGTGATGTTTCAGGTTGTAAAAAAAAATAAGCTCAAATTCTGGAAGTATGCTCAGGACCCGTTTTGAAATCGATATTTTGAACAATACAGCACATTAGAAACATAAAATACTCACCTCATGATATTATTCCAGGGCACCACACCCCGAGCTGTGTCCACGAACCGGATTCCACTGACCAGCAGGTAGCAATTCCCCTCGCAGTACTCCACAAACACCAGCAGCAGTTTAAGGGCAGTTTTGACCACCAGCCGATACTTCGACGCAATCAACGAGTACAACCACTGAATCGTTGGCGAATGTTTCATAACTCCATTCATGCCATCCACGTACAGCATCACCTGTCCCAGTGCCCGCAGGATGTAGTTTTGGTAGTTCTGATCGGCTTCATTACCGATTTGCACCAGGCAGTTAAGTCCACCGAGCGCCACGAAGCCATGCACCAAGTCCTTATCTTCCTGGAAGATTTGCTTCAGTGAAAACAGAGCCCGTCGCAGCTCTCGACCTTCCGAAGAAAGCAGTTTTTCTAGAAACGAGAAAGAAAATTTGGGTGATCCAGTTAGTTTAGGGTGTACGATTGTTGATCTATTCGATGAGAACGCTTATTGTCTTGTCAAACAGCTAATAATTACACCTTATCTGAAGCTATAACAGGGATCTTTTTTCTTCGGGAACGACTTTTCCGAGAAAAAAAAACCTATAGAATTGCAATGCATGTATATACTGCAAACAATCTAACCCCTTAAAAAAAGGACAAAACAAAACAATGAGATAGAAACTTTCCAACTGTCCTTTGGGAAACGAAAACTTTCAGGCGATTACCTTTTATCCAATTCCCTTCCGCCGTCTAGGGGGCTTCCTTTGGCATTCAGTAGTGAAACTTTTCTTTATTTTTCGGAAAAGATAAACAATGCCCAAGAAAATCGCTTCGGTCCATTCAAGTCGAGCCAGGGCTAAACTATTTCCTCTCGCACAATTGCCTCGGGTTGTGCCTTCTATTATGCGGGTAGCTATCTTTTTCATTCGGAAAGACCTTTGTTTCATCTGGCAAGGTTCGAATACACCTCCCCAACCTGCACCAAAAGCAATAGCATCAACTTTCTGCACTTTTGAACCGCTTGGTTTCGTTCGTGATAAAGACATCCCCCGAGGGAGGGTGGCTGAATTGTATCGAGTTTTCCGTTTGCTCGTCTGTCTGACTGTCTGTCTGTTTGTCGGAATCTTCACGTGGCAGTCTGCTGCGGAACGAGTGCAACATGTGATTGCTTCGAAGCTCGTGTTTTGCTGCCAGCAATCCTTTCTCTTTCAATAACGACTTGTCAGCACCACCAACGATCGGAGAGGCGCCTATCGTTTCCCTAAAATATGCGAAATGCCATTTGGAAAATGCTATATAGTAGGAGGCAACTTTGCATCCTTCTAGCTTGACATGATTGATGGGTGTTTTCAGCAACTTGTTTTGAAAGCGTCAATTTTGCATATCAAGAACTCTGAATTCCGGGGACACAAGAATGTCATAATGAGAATTAAAAAAGTTTTATTGTGCTTCCCTCTCATCGTTAAAACCCGACGTATGTCAGACCACAAAAATAACACCCTTTTTCCACAAAATTGTAATCAATATTCGCGCCACCACATGCTAAACGAACCGTTAGTCAGCCAGCGGGAGTCATCACGCTGACCGAGAGTCACTCGCCAAAGACTGTTGTGAACTGGACTGGCGCTAGGCTCTTACCCAGTTACACACATGCAGCCATTCGTCCCAAACAGACCTGACCGCACAGACATTCAGAAGCCTTTCAGGTGCTGATGGATTTAATTACATCCTAAAAATAAAAAATAAATGCTTTTTCAATTTTGTTTCACCTACTGCACAGCACGGCAAAAAGGTAAAAACACTCGACCACACAAAAACAGAACGGACGGACATATTGCAACTCAATAGCGAAATCGATCAATTCCGACCTCCCCCCGACTGCAGTAGCTATCTAGGTGCGGTGTGGTGTTGGAGGCCAAAAGCAGGAACTGATGACACAATTTGCTGTTCGTATCGCTTACCGTATGTTATTGTCGTTAGCGTTTCTTTACCAGTTGGGAATTATGAAGACGTACCCAATCCCGCAACCTTGACCGTTATAGTTATACAGTCTTCGTTCCGTCCTCAATGGTTGTCAGCTGAGTCTATGTGACGAATGTGAATAATGCCTCTATAGAAGATAAGGTACATTATTGCTCTTTAAGCTTTTTACCCAAATTCATAACCGTAATTAATAGAATAATGATGATTTCTCCGAATATGTGGAAACAGCCCAAGAAACTGGTATGAATTAAAATTTAGCCCTTTTCTTCCCTTACATTCGCATATCAAGAAAGTGTTTGAGAAATTCAAGGCTTATAAATCACTATAACATGATCACGTGGTGCGTAACGTTGAACTCTGATGCTAAGCTCTTCTTGTCGACGGTTTTGAGACTCGGTCTTGGGAGTTTTCGAGGAAGTGAGATTGGAAACAAGAATATCGCTTGTTTTTGTCACTAAGGACATCTGTTTTGATTGATGAGAGGGCACGTCTTTGAAGAGTTCCGAAACATCACAATTAAATGAGGCTTCTTGTAGAACAGTTAACAGGTGGGGCATAATGTACATCCCGCACTTTAGTCCCAAACATCTAATTGTTCGAAACAAATTAATTGGTAGTAGGTTCAATATCACCATTGCAATGCACAGTGGGTTAGGAATTAAGCAGGAAAAATAATAACGCTCTGGGATTGCATCCAACTGACTTGACGTCTACAGTGGAGTTTCTTGGATTAGCGAGGACTACAATTTGGTGGGTAAAATTAGTTCAAGTTTTGGCTGCAAAGATGGTGCAGCGATACAACCCTGTGTTTTGATCAGACGTTGTACCAGGTTGGTCGAGGCACATTCCGAGTATGAGAGGGTGATTTCAGTTTGTTAAAAAGTGCCTGAGTACAATGCAAGTACTTTCGATTATTGCCCGTAGATGTAAACCCATATTCTCGTTTATGTCTGGGCTTGTTTGCCATACAGAAACATTTTTATTTGATTTTGTGTGGGGGATGGGTTTCGGGCGTGAACGGGCATAGCTCAGCTGAATCGACGCAAAAATGATTCCGTTGCACCTCGGTTTCTAAGAAAGATAAGGTATAGTAATGCTATCTCTTTTATTTCTTCACCGATGGCAGACACGAAGCGACTGCTACCAGCCGTTAGGGAAGTTTCGGTTGCGTTCGGGTGTAAAGCAAAAATCATGAAACTCCATCTCACCACAGTTTGGAGAGATAAGTTAAAGGGTGTCCCACATCAAATTGCATCACGGAAAAAACGCTGTAGAAAACTACCCATTGGGTATTTTTTCATGAAAATTTGGGTAGAAGTAGTGTAGAGTGTATTGTTTACACTGTACTTTATCGCTTTCAGTTTTTGAAAGTTGGAAAAAATGGTGTCACCTGAAAAGCAACGTCGCGAATTGTTTTTTCGCAAGCACCTGGAAAATCTTCAACTCTCTCACCGGGACATCGGAAAACAACTCTGAATCGTGCAGGCAACAGTGAGTTGTGTGATTAAACGTTACTACAAAACTCTGAGGAGAAATACGGTCAGAATGGAAAGTGTGAAATCATTTAAGCGAAATTCCAATGCTTCGGTCAGGGATGTGGCCAAAAAGTTGAATCTGTTCAAGTCTTTCGTTCAAAGAGCCAAGGACCGGGAGGGACTGCATACGTACAAAGTGGAGAAGGCTACAAATCGTGACGAACGGATACGGTGGGAAAGTCACGGGCCCGGAAGCTGTACACCCAGATGCTGACGAAGCCTCATTATCTCATCATGGATGATGAGACTTACGTCAAGGCGAACTTTCGGCAGCTTCCACACAGCACAAGTTTGATGTTCCGGAGGAAGTAAGGAAGCAGAAACTTTCAAAGTTTGGCAAGAAATACATGATTTGGCAAGCGATCTGCTCATGTGGCAAACGGAGTGCGCCGTTTGTGACTACCGGGACTGTAAACGGGGAGATCTACCTCAAGGAGTGTCTGCAGAAGCATCTGCTTCCTCTGTTGAAGCAACACGAAGGCCCTACGATCTCCTGGCCAGATCTATCTTCGTGCCACTATTCAAATGTAGTCCTGGAGTGGTACGAAGCCAACGGGGTCACTTTCGTACCCAAGGACATGAACCCCCTCAACGCACCGGAACTAAGGCCCATTGAAAAATACTTGGCTATTATGAAGCAGGCACTAAGGAAGCATCCCAAGGTGGTTAAATCTGAGGAAGACATGAAGAAAAAGAGGGTTTCCGTACAGAAGAAGCTGCAGCCAGATGTTGTACAGAACCTAATGAGTGGAGTTAAGCGTTAGGTGCAAGCGTAAGGTTATGGTATTGAAGTTGAATGAAATAAATATGCCAAATGCTTACTAATGGGTTATATTTTATTGCCTGAAACTTTGAAAAGGATCGATCAACTAGGTAATTTTCTAAAGCGTTCTTCCGTGATGCAATTTGATGTGGGGCACTCTTTAGCATGATATTCCGAGCTGCAACATCACAGCTTGCAATATCAACTGCAGTTGTATTCTTGTTGATTCTTTTCTACGAAAATCAAGCGTGATCTTGGGCTTTGGTGAGATGTATGCATGTGCTCAAAATTCTCAAAACACCCGTCGAAGTCGAACGCCGCAACCCAACATTGATCAATTACCGGAAGCTAGGCGGATTGAACTTGCCATCAACGCATCAAAGACAAAATACATGAAAGCTAGGTGTTCTAGGGAAAACAATGTAAGCCTCCCACACCGAGCTCATATTGACGGTGACCAAATCGAGGTGGTCGATGAGTTCGTGTATTTGGGCTCACTGGTGACCGCCAAAAATGATACCAGCAGAGAAATTCAAAGACACATTGCGACAGGGAATTGTGCCTACTTTGGACTCCACAGGACGCTCCGGTCGAATAACATTCGCAGCCGCACGAAGTTGACTATCTACAAGACTCTGATTAGACCGGTGGTCCTCTACGGTCACGATACCTGGACTATGCCCTTGGTGTTTTCTAACAGAAGGTGTTGCGTGCCATCTACGGTGGAGTGCAGATGGATAACGGAACGTGGAGGAGGCGAATGAACCACGAATTGCACCAGCTGCTGGGAGAACCATCCATCGTCCACATTGTAAAAATTTAGCGACTACGGTGGGCTGGGCACATCGTAAGACTGCCGCACGACGCTGACGAAGGCTGGCGAAGAGTGGCCATGGATCGAGTAGAGTGGAGACGACTTCTTCGGAGAGCAGAGGACAACAAGGCCTTAGCCTGATTGGAAAGTAAAGTATGGTTCATAATATATTCCCGATAAACCAAAAATCGCAGTGCGAGATCTCTTAAAAAGTTTTTCGAGTCCGAATAGTCTCAAAAAATATCTTAGTGTTGAAGTTTTTTCCTTGATTGGATTTCCGTCGATCTTGTTTTCAAGTGCTGCAAGCTAATGCTACCGACGCCAGGAAGGCAGC